CTTTTTATGGTTTTTAATATTTGTATATTTATTTATTTGAAAGGCAGAATGGCAGGGGATAGAGAGACAGAGTGATCTTCTACCTGCTAGTTCACTCCCCTAATGTCCACAATAGCTGGGGCTGGGCCAGGCCAAATCCAGGAGCCAGGAACTTCATCCAGGTCCCCAGTGTGGACGGCAGGGGCCCAAGCACTTGGGCCATCATCCATGGCTTTCCCATGTGCATTAGCAGGGAGATGGATAGGAAGCCAACCAGTTAGGACTTTAACCAGCGATGCCATACAGAAGGCCAGTGTCACAGGCTGCAGCTTAACTCACTGCGCAACAATGCAGCCCTCATATTTTACTATTTTTAAGAAGGAAAACAGACCATTAAATAATACAGAAGAAGATTCCTCTTATTACCAAACAAAAGAACTCATCTAAGCCTCTTAAGTTGGGAAAAATATCTAAAAGTTACTCAGTTCCTCTGCCAAAAGTCCCTAAATTGCTAAGTTAGAAACCATCCTAGACAAGGAAAACAAGCCACTCCTAAACCCACAGAGCCAGAGAGCATGTAAAACCAAAGACTTCATCCTGTAATTAGTCCAGCCAAGGCACGTGGTTTTTTTTTTTTTTTTTTTTTTTTTTTTTTTTTTTTTTTTTTTGACAGGCAGAGTTAGACAGTGAGAGAGAGAGAGGGACAGAGAGAAAGGTCTTCCTTACGTTGGTTCACCCCCCAAATGGCTGCTACGCCTGGCACGCTGCGCCGATCCGAAGCCAGGAGCCAGGTGCTTCCTCCTGGTCTCCCATGCGGGTGCAGGGCCCAAGCACTTGGGCCATCCTGCACAGCCTTCCTGGGCCACAGCAAAGAGCTGGACTGGAAGAGGAGCAACCGGGACAGAACCCAGTGCCCTAACTGGGACTAGAACCTGGAGCGCCAGTGCCGCAAGAAGAAAGCCAACAGGAAGAAAATGGTGTAACTACTACGGACATTTGTGTGTTTGTTTAACAAGAGGATGCAGTAGAGACTAAGCATGGGAGTTCTTGATCCTGGGCTAACTCCTAGGGTGAACAAACAGTATCCAAAGCTGTGCCCTGATAGATGGAAATAATTCATAACATAAGGATATGACCTTGAAGAATCAAAGACAGGAGGGAGCCAAAATCTGGCACTCTACGCTGTTCAGATTTAAGGCCTCTCTCTCCATTCGACCGCAGCCTGGCCTGGTGGGCCTAAGATTCCTGATACATCTCAGCCCCACCTCTGTAACACACACAATGTCCAAGCAGCCAGCACGCTGAAACAGCTGGACGTGGAGGATGGTATTCTACTGTTAGGTAAATGGTGTGATTTGACAGATTTCCCCTGTCCACTGACAATGAAACATCTGAGACAGGAAGACACAGTAGCCCACAGGCTTGTTAAAGAAAGCAGCCAGCCTGCGGGCCTGACCCTTATGACTGCGACTGCAAAGTTTGTAGGGAAGGAGGTAACTAAATTTCCACATTAGAGTTTTTACAGTGCAAAGACGGAGAAAGACAAAACTCTGCTCCCAGGAATCGTTCAGAGAGGTTGCCAGGCGCCTAAGTGAGCGACATTCTAGCTCTCAGCAAGGGTTGACTGAAACAAAGCAGGACAGTACTGAGCTCTGGGTGCAGCTCAGCCCAACGGCAAAGGAAGACCTTTCTCTCTCTCTCTCTCTCTCTCTCTCACTGTCCACTCTGCCTGTCAAAAAAATAATAAATAAATAAATAAATAAATAAATAAGGGGGAGTCGTCCCCCAAAAAGCACCGTGTCTCCTCCTTCGGTTCTGGAGATGAGAAATTATGTATCTTTTCAAAGGCATTCTGTGTAACTGTGGGAGCAGACATTGTTTCTCCTCTGCTCACAACTCTTGAGTGGCTCCCTGTTTCCCAAAGAGTTAAAAGAAAATGTCCCCTGCTTACGAAGGCCTCGGAAGACCCTTACAATCCACTGCTCCCCAGTCTCCGAGCACCATCTCTGTGACCACACCTCACAATTCGCAGCCTCACTTCCTCTCTTCGAACAGACCTGCCCCTGACCTACCCACGAACACCAGCATCTCGCCAGCTTGCAGTGGTCGCTCCTTCCGTCGGAAATGCTCTCCCCAGACACCCAGGCGACGCCCTCCCTCCCTCCTGCAGGTCTCTGCTCAGCGGATGTCTTTTCAATAGCGATGCTCTCTGGTTCTCCCGAAGTCTCCATTACCTCGTCCTGTTTTCCACGTCAACTTCTAACATACTACATAATTCTCCAAAGTTTGTGTTTATTATTCATAGTCATCTCCCTATATAGAAGGCTGTCTATTTTATTTACCAATCTACCCTAACGCACCCAGAAGAGTCTCTGGCACATGCTCGGTAATCATTTATTTAAAGAGCAAATGAGAACACCTTTGTGTTCGGAACTCGCCTTCAATCCTTCTAACTATATCAAAGAGAAAGTCTCAGATGGTGACAATCTTCAGTAATTCTCTATGACTTTTTAATGTCTTTTGCTTTTAACATTTTTATTTATTTTTTTAAAGATAGATTTATTGTTTTGAAAGGCAGAGTCAGAGAGGGAGGTGTTGAGGTTGATTTGTTCTCAGAGGAGGAGCGTGGTGGGGGCAAGAGGCACGGAGTCCCCACACAAACCCCAGGAGTCCAGTGAAAGCAGGCCAGAGGCAGCTGCCTGCAGACTCGTTTATTTCAGTTATACAGCAGCTTATATAGCCAAGGCAGCCAATCCGGTCAAGGGGCAGTCTATGCCCTAACCAATCACACCCTGTTGCCAGGCAGTTTCTGAAGCCATCCAATCACAGCCTATTGCCAGGCAGGCTCCATTTGCCATGTGGTTTCAGAATTCATCCAATCACAGCCTGTTGCCAGGCAGTTTCTGTTGCCAGTGGCCATCTTGGCATGGCCTTCTCATTCCACCACAGGGAGGGAGGGAGAGAGGGAGAGAGGGAGAGAGGTGGAGGGGGGAGGGAGATGGGGGAGGGGAGGGGGAGAGGGACAGGGGGAGGGACAGGGGGAGGGGAACAGGGGGAGGGAGGGGGGAGGGGGAGGGGAGGGAGAGGGAGTGCTTCCATCCACTGGGTCACTCCCCAAATGGCTAAAATGGCTAGGACTGGGGCCAGGCAGAAGCCAGGAGCCAGGAACTCCATCAGGGTCTCCCACTTGGATGGCCAGAGCACAAGTATTTGGACCATCATCTGCTGCCTTCCCAAGTGCATTAGCAGGGAGTTGGATCAGAAGTGGAGCAGCTGGGACTTGAAACAGTGTTCAAACAGAATGCCACAGCTCAGCACAGGCTGCAGCTTAACCTGCTGTGCCACAATACCAGCCCCTCTTTTAATATTTTTACATAAAACTTACCAATTGTGACAACCACCCATTTTAACTGGACAATTCATGATTTTTTTAAAAATTCATTAAGTTGTACAACCATTACCACTAATCTCCTTCTTATGAAGAATAGAGACTTTCAACTCAGAGACTCCTTTCTGGGAGAGTATCTGTGAATGGTATAGTAAAACTGCTCTGTTGTCATTCATTGTATTTTTCTGATTATTTGCTCTTTTGGCTAATCATATTGAATTTCCACTTGAAGTGGCAATATAAAGTTTCCATCATAATGAAATTTATTTATGTGAAAATTAGTTGATTTAAAGAAAAATGTTATATAGCTAACAATATAGATAGTCCAAAAGTGAAGTATGATTTGAATGGGTGTTAATGAGAATAATAATGGCTGTGAGGCCGGCGCCGTGGCTCAATAGGCTAATCCTCAGCCTGCGGCGCCGGCACACCGGGTTCTAGTCCCGGTCGGGGCGCCGGATTCTGTCCCGGTTGCCCCTCTTCCAGGCCAGCTCTCTGCTATGGCCAGGGAGTGCAGTGGAGGATGGCCCAAGTGCTTGGGCCCTGCACCCCATGGGAGACCAGGAGAAGCACCTGGCTGCTGGCTTCAGATCAGCGCGATGCACCGGCTGCATCACGCCGGCCACACCGGCCATTGGAGGGTGAACCAACAGTAAAGGAAGACCTTTCTCTCTGTCTCTCTCTCTCACTGTCCACTCTGCCTGTCAATAATAATAATAATAATAATAATAATAAATAATGGCTGTGAAACATTAACTCATGTGATCTAGACCTGCTGGTCTCCCGGACAGCAGAGTCGCAACTTAACTGCATTAATCAAAGGCAAGACATTGTCACTTGTTCCTAGGGCCTACCTTCAGTCCTTGGTGGGGGACTCTTCCTGAATCCCTTGTGTTTGGGCACATCTTGTGGGCAAGGCACTGACTGACCTGTTTCACATTCTCACTGGAAGATCAGGTGCATCGCAAACAGCCTTGGAAGGGACAGACAGTGTCTTCCTCTAGTGCAAAGGACACACGTGCCAACCATCCACTGGAGAAGATTCCACTGGCCTAGTCAAGGCTCCTCTCCTGGACTGCACCCTCTCCACAGGCACGTGTCACCCAGCCTCCTTGCATCACCACGTGGAAATACAGACTTGGAGAATGTCATGCTCCGAATTTTTGCACGGCCCTGGAACTTCTTATGTCAAAATCCTTTTGCCTCCATGGTGGTGGTATTAAGAGGTGAGGCCTTTGGAGGGTGACAGTTCACGAGCTTAGTGACCTAATTAAAGGCAGCCTGCTTGCCCTGGCCACCATGTGAAGACACAGTGAGAAAGCACCATTTAGGACATTTCCTAATGTCACAACCTCACCAGACATAGGTTTTCTAGCTTCTTAGTCATGCTGTGAGGACACATTTCTGTTGTTTGGGTGTGACCTAGTATATGGCATATTATTGTAACAGCCCAAATGGACTAAGTCAGGGAACAGGCACAAAAATGTTGATACTCTGGCTACTGCTGTTGGTATAATAAACAGTCTTTCACCGGGGACCTAACAGTCTCATGTCTTGTACCAGTGGATGAATTTGTTAACTTATAACTAGAATAGATTTTTCAGAACACCCATAAGTCCTTGAAAGTCCTCACCTCATTGTGAATTTCTTCTCCTTGTTTCAAAACTGCAGGCTCGAACGACTTCAAAGTGACAGCAGTGCCATCCACATCATCACGGACGTTCTGCAGAGCCAACTGGCAGCGTTGTAAGATGTAGTCCAAGGTTCCCATTGAGCACTGCAAGACAGAGCCAGCAGTCAAGGTTACGAGCAAGGTCCATGTGCATGTGCCACTCTTCCTGGGAATATTCACACATGTCGCCCTTCTGAGCATGCCCCAGCCATCCCCACAGCTACACTGCTAACTGAAGAATTCTGCCACCGTCTGCTCGCTGGATGTTGTGCCGCCAGCTTGGCCTCACGGAGGCTACTCAGCTCCCCGACTTTTATCATGGGCCTCTCAGCTTAACTAAACAGTAGGCTCTCGCCCTATTTTTATATTCATTTTCTCCATAAACTACAACTTTTAGAATTAAGTCCTAAATGTAGATGAGACTTAATAAATAATTATTGGGGGGCCAGCACTGTGGCATAGTAGGCTAAGCATCCGCCTGCAGCACCGGCATCCCAGATGGGCACCAGTTCGTGTCCTGGCTGCTCCACTTCCAATACAGCTACCTGCTTATGGCCTGGGAAAGTAGCGGAAGATGGCCCAAGTGCCTGGACCGCTGTGCCCACATGGGAGACATGGAAGAAGCTACTGGCTCCTGGCTTTGAATCAGCTCATTTCCAGCCGTTGTGGTTATTTGAGGTATGAACCAGAGGATGGAAGACCTCTCTCTCTCTCTTTCTCTCTCTCTCTCTCCCTCCATCTCTGTAACTCTCAAATAAATAAATAAAAATTTAAAATAATTATTGGATGGTGGCTAACTAACCAACAAGTCAAGGATACAGGCTTTATTTTGAGTGCCCTGAGGCCTAATCATGGAAGAGGAAAGTAACCAGAACACAGAACTGGCTGAAAAGCACACAAAATAGAAAAGCAATGGATGGGGACCGGCACTGTGGCACACTAGGTTAGTCCTCCACCTGCGGCACCGGCATCCCATATAGGTGCCGGGTTCTGGTCCTGGTTGCTCCTCTTCCAGTCCAGCTCTCTACTGTGGCCCGGGAAGGCAGTGGAAGATGGCTCAAGTGCTTGGGCCCTGCACCTGCATGGGAAACCTGGAGGAGGCTCCTGGATCCTGGCTGCGGATCGGTGCAGCTCCGGCCGTTGCGGCCGTTTGGGGAGTGAACCAACAGAAGGAAGATCTTTCTCTCTGTCTCTCTCACTGTCTGTAACTCTACCTGTCAAATAAAAAAAAAAAAAAAAAAAAAAAAAAAGCAATGATGGAGGCAGGGGGGATTAAAAGCATGAACACAAGGGGAAAAGGCTCATCTTCCTTTTCTACAAATGGCCTATATTAGAGTCCTTGGCAGAGTAGAGTCTTCCAACAACGAAGAATCTGTGGCTTGTGCCCTGGAGCCACAAACAAAGGCACACCTTAGTACCTGGCTGTCAGCAGGGACACAGATAACTAGCTCATCCCTCTCTGAGTCTGTGAGTGCAAAACAGAGAGAGGGCCAATGGACAAAGCCCTTCTTTGTAGGATCATTTGTCAGAAGGGGATGCAGATAGAAGCAAGCTCCATTTGGTTTGATAATCAAGTGAATTCCTAGAATGATTAAAAAAAAAAGAGCAAGCTATAAATATCCTATAGACACAGTGAGGGATATGGACCCCTGAAATATTTTTGTCTGAATATTTCTCATTTAAACCAAGCCCATGGAAATAACTTTGAAGGCTAATCCTCTGGCGTAAAAATTCCTTGCACATTAACTGCCATTTTATACAATGTGACATCAACAAGCCTGGGAGGAACAAAAGTTTCTGTGCCAAAAAACAGAAACTTGACTCATGCATATTTTAATATGAAGACCCCAGAGTGCTGAGAGCGTAAGGGCAGGCAGCTCCAATTTGCTGCAAAGAGAAAACAAAGACTAGACGTGAATTACCGCTGACGTCTGTCCCACAGCACCCCTGCTACGTCCTCTGAAATGATATTGAGTCTGAAAGTTACCCTACTCGCACCTTTACTTCCCCAGGTATGGAGCAACCGATGCAAATTGTTATTAAATACACTGCCACTTACTATAGCTAATTATTAGAAACAACCGAAATTTCCCATCAGCAGGGAACCCGTTATACGAACTATGGTGTATCCATACTTGCAGCCAAAAAGAAAAAAAATGAAATTTTTTTCTGGGTGTACAAAGTTGTTTTTTTTTTTTTTTTTTTTTGATGTAAAGAACTATAAAGCAGGTTTGGTGGGATTTTTGGATTTTAGAATGTTTTTTAGTAATAATTTTATTGAGATAAAATTCGTGTATCATAAAGTGATATGACACGACCATTTAAATCATATAATTGAATGGCTTTTAGTACATTTATAGTTGTTCAACTGCCACTACAATTAATTTTAGAATAATATTACTCTGCCAAAAAGAAATTCTGAGACATTTAGTAGTTATCTCCTCCCATTTCTATGAATCTTTCCAAGCCTACAAAACTACTAATCCACTTCCTATGTCCAAAGATATGTTCTTCTGGATATTTAAACGAAATCATACAATAAATAGGTGATCTTCTGTGACTGGTTTCTTCCACTTAGCACGTTTTCTGATGTTGTAGTATGCATATCATTCCCTTGTGCTGACAAATAATATTCCACTATATGGAGAGGCCTCATTTTATTTATCCATTCATTAAGCAATAACCATTGGGTTCTTGTCACTTTTTGACTTTTATGAGTCAAGCTATTTTGAATCTTCACGTACAAGTGTTCACATGAAATTGCTGAGTCACAGAACGACTCGGGTGTGACCTTCTGAAGAAGTGCCTGACAGCTTCCCCAAGTGGTTGCAGCACCAAACATCCCCCCCACCCCACACTGCATGAGGACTCCACTTTCTACACACCCCCATCAATACCTACTAACGATCTTTTTGATTCTCATCTTCCTGGTGGTATGAAGCGTTATCGTTTCATGGCTTTATTTGAATTTCCCTAATGACTTACAATGTTTCCTATTCTCCATGTGCTTACCGGTCTTTGATCGACCTTATTTGTAGATGTGTTTCTGTTCAGATCTTTCAACTGAGTAATCTTACATACTTTTTTTTTTTAACTTTTGAAACATTTAAGTAACTACTTATTCAATAAATAATTACACATAAAATTTAAATGCAAAGAATGATATTCTGTGCTGAGTCCCATGGACATTCTATAACAACTAGAAAAAACTACAGTCGAATACAGGTCAAGAGCCATCAGACATAATCCAGTCATCTGCAACCAAAACATCTGAATAGATTTCTTCTCTGATTAGCTAAAATGACTTCCAGAACATCATTTCCTTAACACAATCTGTTTCCTACACATTGTGAATAGACAGAAAATAGCAAGTCATTTTGCTTGGCACAGATAAGATGTGCAGTATTAACACTGTAGAAAAGAAAGTCTGTCTGTACAATAAGCAAGGGTTATAGAGTTGCATGAATTTGTGTTCCCTTCCTCATGGAGGGAAACAATAGTGCAGTTTCAGTGTTGGGAAGAAAATCCCCTATTTGTAAACAATAATTTAAAATGAAATAAATAAGATAAAAAGATAATCCCACCACCTGAAACCATTTACATATTTTACTGTATGTAAGTCTCTGTCCCTACTCAGTTGTAATTAGTATGTACATGACAACATGTACAATATTTTTCATTGTTTGTATATAAGTATCTAAAACTATCATTTCCAATGATTGCTAATTAAAGTCAGCAATTTAATTAGGTGATCACATACTATAAAGGCACTAAAGTTCTATCCATCTTTTTACTGATCATGTTAGAAAAACATTTACATATAAAGTTTTACTGAATTATTTCCCAGGTTTAATTGCTGAAAACAGTGCTATGAGACCATGAACATGAATTTTATGGTACTTAATACAAATTCCCACATAGTATTCTAAAAAGTAAACTCCTCAGAAAAACTACCAGAAGTAAATGAATATATAGTTTCACTGTAACTTTGTTAGTACTAAATATTTTCATTATTTATTTTGGTGGAATATTAGGGCAGAAATAAAAAATGTATCCTAAAATAGTGACTTCTTAGATTACTTTCAATTTTAAGATGATTTTTATTTTTTATTAACTATTAATTTATTTGAAAGGCAGAAAGACAGAGATCTTCTGTCCACTGGCTTATTCCCCAAATGTCTACAACAGCCAGAGCTAGGCCAGGCCAAAGCCAGAAGACTGGAACTTAATCCAGGGCTCTCACATAGATGGTAGGGACCCTAGTACTTGAACCATAACTTTCTGTCTCCCACAGGACACACATTAGTAGGAATCTAGAATCAGAAGCAGAGCTGAGACTCAATCCTGGCCACTTTGAAATAGGATCCAGGAATCTCAAGCAGGAATTTAACCACTGTACCAAAGTCCTCCCCTAAGGTGAACTGAAGCCTGTTTACATGGATCATCTACTAACAGAAGTCAGCAAGCTATCCTTTTTAAAAAAGAAAAAAAAATTATTCATTTGAAAGTCAGAAATACAGAGAAAAAGGGAGAGCCATAGAGATCTTCCATCTGGTTCACTCCTCAAATGTCTGTAACGGCCAGATGGAAGCCAGAAGCTTCATCCAGGTCTCCCACCTGAGAGTGCAGGGGCCCAAACACTGGGGCCATCTTCCACTGCTTTCCCAGGCCATTAGTAGGGAGCTGAATAGGAAGTGGAACAACTGGGAGATGAACCTGCTCACATATGGGATGCCAGAGTCACAAGCGGAGGCTTTACCCACTGTGCCACAGCACTGGCCCTCAGCAAATGCTTCTCAGAAGACTAGACAATAGATATTTCGCAGGCTGTAGGGTCTGTGTTGTGAACAACTCAGTTCTGCCGTTGTTGCTCCAAAGCAGCCAACGTCAACAAATGAGTATGGCTGTGATGCATTTACAAAAACGGCCTGGCCTGCAGGCCAGAGTTTGCTGACCGCTGATCTACATTATAGGAACATGACTCACATTACATGTATTTAATTAGTAAAATATCAGGTAGCTTAAACACAGAACGTGACGATCACAGATTTGGTGTAAAGGTTCTCTCTCAGGAGAGTCACTATAGATGATTCCTCTTTTTTTCTTTAAAATTAATGAATGCTCAAAATTTGGGCTAAAAATCAGAAGACACAAAGACAGCCATGACTAATCAGAGAAATCTAAGCTCCAGGATATTTTTGAAAGCAATGCTGCTCAGTATGAAACTGGTCCACCTGGAAAAAAGCAAACAAGGTTAAGGGGTTGCTTCTAATGCTGCACTCCAAAGGGCTTCCTTTGGGATTTTGTGTGTGTGTGTGTGTGTGTGTATTTACTGCAAGGGGTAGAGATGAGCAGTGTCTTGTTCTTTTGCAAAAAAAATTTTTTTTTTAAGATTTATTTATTGAAAGTCAGAGTTACACGAGAGAGAGGAGAAGCAGAGAGAGAGAGAGAGAGAGAGAGAGGCCTTCCATCCGCTGGTTCACTCCCCAATTGGCTGCAACGGTCATAGCTGCACTGATCCAAAGCCAAAAGCCAGGAGCTTCTTCCAGGTCTCCCACATGGGTGCAGGAGCTCAAGGACTCGGGCCATCTTCTACTGCTTTCTCAGGCCACAGCAGAGAGCTGGATTGGAAGTGGAGCAGCTGAGTCTTGAACTGGCACCATACAGGATGCCAGAGCTTCAGGCCAGGGCGTTAACCTGCTGCAACACATTGCCAGCCCCTGCAAGTTTTAAGTCCACATTCCCATTTGTCTGCTGGAACTCTATACTCAGCAGTTCCAACTCAGCCTGTTCAAAACTGATCTAATTATTATCTTCCCCTCCCTGTCCTTACTAATAGCCATGTTATCCCTGAATCACACAGACTTGGAACTCATAGTCATTGTCAGACTTTGTCTCCTATATTATTCATGGGAATCTTTTTTTTTTCTTGCTGCTACTACCTTAGTTCATATTCTGAAAAGTTCAAGCAATGTCCTCATCATTTGTATCTTCCTAAAGTTTTTTCCAATATGTCAATAAGGGATCATCAATAGCCTGCAACTGCCTGACAATTTAAGTTCAAACACACAATTTTATGACCAGGATCCTTCACATTCTAGTTCCATGCAAGAGTCAGGCTTTTCTGCCAACTCATTCCCCAAATGGCCACAACAGCCGGGGCTGAGCCAGGCAAAAACCAGGAGCCAGGAGCTTTATCCAGGTCTCCCACTTGGGTGCAGGGGTCCAAGGAGTTGGGTCATCTTCCACTGCTTTCCCACCGCTGGATCGGAATTGGAGCACCAGGAACTCGAACCAGAGTTTGTATCGGATGCCAGTCATGCAGACAGCAGCTTAATACATTAGGTCACAATGCAGGCCCTACCATGTGCTACTTTCTATTCTACATTATACCTATTCTTAATTGTAAGCATCTTGAAGGCACTAAATATATCAACCATTCCTGTTCACATGTGCCTAAAAGAATACCTTCAACACCAGAAAGTTCTTCAAAGTTTGCACTTTAAATGAATGGCAATTCTAATAATCAAACCCACTGAGTGTTGAATGTCTCTTACTTTATTATGTACATTCTAGTGAAAGAGAGGATTTCAAAAAGTTCACAAAAAAGTGGAATTAAAAGAAACTCTGAAATCTATGCATAGAGAGTATTCTTGAGGTTAATGGAAAATGCATAAGATGAAAAAACTAAACATGAACTTCAAAAAAATTTTTGAACCAAAATAAACACCTTTTAATTCCACTTTTCCATGAGCATTTTGAAATTCCTTCATGTAAGTAGGGACCAAATAACCTTTCACACACAGAGCTTTAGCTCTCCCTACCTCCTTGTAGTTTTTCATTAGAATGAAATGAAAAGACACTTGCGGCACCGGCAAACCGGGTTCTAGTCCCGGTCGGGGTGCCAGATTCTGTCCCGGTTGCCCCTCTTCCAGGCCAGCTCTCTGCTGTGGCCAGGGAGTGCAGTGGAGGATGGCCCAAGTGCTTGGGCTCTGCACCCCGTGGGAGACCAGGATAAGTACCTGGCTCCTGCCATCGGATCAGCACGGTGCGCCGGCTGTGGCGGCCATTGGAGGGTGAACCAACGGCAAAGGAAGACCTTTCTCTCTGTCTCTTTCTCACTGTCCACTCTGCCTGTCCCAAAAAAAAAAAAAAAAAAAAAAAAAAGAATGAAATGAAAAGACAATAGCAGGAGGAGCACCAGTAGTAGTAATTCAATAATGGTAGCAGTGGCCAACATGTGACTGTACATCAGTCACTACTGTAAAAGACTGATGTGTGTGAACTCATTCAGTCATCATAAAACACTGTATGAATGACAAACAATTGCTATATCCATCAAATGTTTCCCCAAAGTTTCTTTAAAAGATTTATTTATGTATTGGAAAGGCAGAATTACAGAGAGGCAGAGGCAGAGGCAGAGGCAGATTGAGGGGGAGGGGTATTCCATCCACTGGTTCACCAATTCCAAATGGTCTCAATGGCCTGAGCTGGGCCAATCCGAAGCCAGGAGCCAAGCCCTTCTTCTGGTTCTCCCACACAGGTAAAGGGGCCCAAGCATTTGAGCCATCTTCCACTGCTCTCCCAGGCCATAGCAGAGAGCTGGATAGGAAGTGGAGCAGCCGGGACTCGAACCTGCGCTCACATGGGATGCCGGCACTGCAAGTGGTGGCTTTACCCTCTATACCACAGCGCTGACCCCTCCCAAAACTTTGTGTTCATCACTTTGTACAAGCCTCCCAAACAGAGCATTAATAAGTTGGTTCCCACTCTCAGGTTAGGTTAGGAAAGATGTAAGGACACATCTAATTAGTCACATCTTTAAGTCCACAGGAACTGGATTCCTGGGAGGGTTAAAGCTAGACAGACAGATGTCTGTAACAAGGGAAACAGGGCCTTTTTGTACAACGTAAGACACGTACTAGATACTCTATAAATGCTTCCTTCCTTCCTAACCGACTGACTTTTAGGTCTCTAAGATAAGTATTTTGTGGTTATTTACCATTTCTTTCTCCTGCTAAAATGTGGGTTCAGTAGAGGTAGTGGACATAATAGTGACACTGACGACTCCATCTCCCTGGCCGGCAGTGCTGTACACATAATGGGCACTCAGGTATTTAATGAGTAAGAGAATGGGAAAGAGGAGAAAGGAGGAAAGGAATGCTCGATGGGCTTGCTGGCAACTTGGTGTAAACACCTGCCCCGTCTGCCCCAAAGCAGCATGGTCAGTCCACTAGGAAAGCTACTTAATGGCCGAAAGACATGACGCTGCCTCCTGGACTCACAGTCTCAAGACTGGCAAGTCCCTGAGCTTGTGCTTCCCTGCCACTTTCTAAGGTTGCTCCACTCTCCCACATCTGTCCCTTTGCAGGTCCCTGAAAAGGTGTTACAAAGCCAAGCCCGGATAAAAAGCTTGGGTAAGAAGTCAACCTGAAATTTCATTCATGACTACTCCCCTGGAAGCCTTCTTTACTAAACACACAGAACCCTAAGGTGCCCATCACATGCTTCCCCTATCTCTTAACTTTGCATTCGAAACTAGTCCAATCAACTGACCATCAGTTGCTGTGAGTGATGGCAGAATTTAGCCAGAAAGTCTGGGTTGTGAATACAACCGGAGGGCTCAGACATTCCTTGGCACCACTGTACTTTCTCCTTAATTTACATTCACATTGCCCAGAAGCCCGACCAAAAAAGTGAGGGTACTGTAAATTCTCAACTATCCAAACCCAGCCACAGTGAACACATGCACATACACACAAATCCACCCCATTTCCTCTTTCCATCTCTTGTCCTTGACCTTAACAGTTCTAGCCCCCTAAGAAAACCTCTAACTAGCAACACCTGCCAACAGCATTTACCTTCTCCAAGAAACATAAGCCCGAAAAGTAAAATATACTTATCTCATGCTGTGAACACACTTTTACAAAAACTATCCAATACAACCCAGAGCTAAAAAAAAAAAAAAAAAAAAAGGCAGTAAATAGAGACCCAAGTCAAGTGAGATGGAAGCAATTTTCCTATCAAATACTCTTCCAAAGCTCTATGATAAATTGCTCAGTCAACCACTTCTGTCACATCTAATTAAGTGTGAATCACATTTTTATTTACACTTACCTCTGCCACTCGGTGGGTGGAACTAAACCGAGGTTGTGAACCAGCCAAAACACAGTGTTGGTGGGTGGCATTGAGATCATCTGTGGGAAAAATACAAAAAAATCTGAAACCCACATTTATAAGTAAGTATACACTATATGCTATTGAAATATGACACAAAGTAAACACAAAATTCACCATTCAAGGAATGACAATGACCAAGGAATTAATACTTATCTTGTATTCTGGAAGCCATTCATTTTAAGTAGGATGGGGATGGGGACTCATTCAAATGGGAAAGGGATGCTACTAATAATTATTCCAAGACAAGTGTCAATCAGAACTTTCCTCAACAAATAGGATATGTGGTCAACATTACTTATGTGTGGGTCTCATGATGCCACACACTGCATAGTCTACCATTTACAGATGGAGCTTCTTTCTCTTTCCCATGACATATCTACTTCTCGCTGTCTTCAGAACATGCCAGCATTCTTTTCCATTTTTCAGAGTTGAACATCTTCCATCTGAAAATCTGTCTTTCTCTCTGTAATCAAAGTATCAATTTTGCCCTAACAATTTTCCAGGCAACAAACCAACCAACTCAGCATGCTGTATGGCTGGCTCTCAGAAGAGAATTCAAGCCTATGGATTCATGACCCAAGAATGGAGGAGGTGGTGAATTCAACAGTTGAAGAGTACTCTTAAAACCACAAGCAGTGGGAGAAAATCAACGACCAAGTTGTTTTGTATTCTAAGAACTAATGTGAAGATGGTGGAATAGGGAGGGAGCTTGCTGCTCTAGCCCAAGAGAAGATAGAAAAAAGTGGAGAGACTGCAGTCTCAATGAAGAATTACAGAGAAAACTGCAGAGGAAACTCCACACAAATTGGAGGGACACTGTGGATCTGCGTGGAGGGTGCTGATGTGCACAATTCAAGACCCCGGCACCCGAGAGCCTCAGCACCAGCTTTGCAGAGTGAGATGACACCAGACTGCAGCAGCCCAAGCCACTGGCGATAAAGCTGCAGGGAGAGCCTGACAGGAGTCTGCCTTGGAGCCCTGTGGGGGACAGTGTACCTGCCAACCTAGAGGGGGAAAAAGGGGGGGTCATGTTTGTTTCCCAGACCACCCAGCACCAGCATTCTGTAACTGGCTGATAGAGGGTGGGCACCATTTTGGACACATGTAACAGTTGTGCCAGCTTTTGTCTGTGTGCCCAGAAATCAGCTGAGAGGAGACTCCTGAATCTGGCTGGGAGAACTAACAGGGGGTTGGGAGCTCGTGACTGTGGGAGCCTTGTGTACTGGGGCTATCAAAACACTGTGGCTTTGTGGGAAGGTGCAGGGTATGGTTTAGTCACTGTGGGTGGCTCCACACATTCAGAGCTCCTTGATTGCCTGGTGAGGGTCACTGCTGTAGGATCCATGCTCTGAGGACTGAATAGATGCTTTGTGTGCTTCTCATGGCAGTGTGGATAAATACTGCACCCACTGGGGCTACAGCTCAGGCACTGGTCTCCTTAGAGGAAAGGAGATGAGCTTGAGACTACACCAACAGAACTGATCAAACACTCTCCTTTGAAGAAAGAAAAAAAAAAAGCAGATGGACCACACCCGACTTGGCTGTGCCTTCATCCTGGAGCATTGAACAGAGCTCCCTGGCCACACCCAATACCCATCTCTGAGTATTCACTGAAAGAGCAGACGCTCCACTAAGCCACAGAGGTGTAGTCCAAAGATAAAAGCCATCATGGGGAGGGGGGAGGGATACAAGAAGTATCCCCACAAATGCCTAAAAAGAAACACAGAAATTCAAGAAACAAGAATAAAGAAGACAACATGACACCACCAAAGGAAAACAACAACACTTTAATACTAGCATGTGAAGATGAACAGCTTGAAGAAATGCCGAAAACAGAATTCAAAAAATCAATCATAGGGTTACTTAGAAGTAATCAGAAGCAAATCCACGAATTAACAAAATCCATACATGACATGAATGAAAATTTTTCCAATGAAATTGAGATTTTAAGGAGAAGTCAAAATAAAATATTAGAAAGGAAGAATTCAATAAAACAAATAAAAAATGCTGTGGAAGGCCTTCACAGACTCAGTGAGGCAGAAGAAAGAATATCCAAGTTAGAAGACAAATCTCTGGAAATTTTACAGTAAGATTAAAAAAAAGAAGAAGAAGAAATTAGAAAAGTAAAAAAAGTGTTGGAAATTTATGGGATACTATCAAACATCCCAACATATGGGTCTTAGGAGTTCCTGAAGGCATGGAAAGAGAGAATGGATTAAAAGGTATTTTTAGTGAAATAATTACAGAAAACTTCCTTCATTTGGAGAAAGAATGGGATGTCCAAGTACAGGAAGCACATAGAACTCCTAACAGACATGACCAGAAAAGGTCCTCATCACAACACATTTTAGTCAAACACTCTATAGTAAAGCATAAAGAAAAGATTCTAAAATGTGCATGAGAGAAATGTCAGATTACTTTCAGAGGATCTCCAATTAGACAAACCCTACAGACTAGAAGAGAATGGCAAGATATATTCCAAGTCTAAAGAGAAAAAAAACTGTCAACCCAGAATACTGTACCCTGCAAAGCTTTCATTTATGAATGAAGGTGAAATAAAGACATTTCATAACAAACAGAAATTGAACAAATTTGTCACTATTTGTCCAGCCTTACAAAACATGCATAAGGATGTGCTACACACAGAAACACAGAAACACGGTCATCACTATGAAAGAAGGTGAAGGCAGAAAATCTTCCAGTAAAAATACAAAGAAAATCCAAAGAAAACAATAGGGATATTTATGGGAAAATGACAGGGCCAAGTCATTACTTATCAATAGTCACCCTGAATGTAAATAGCCTCAACTATCCAACTAAAAGATATAGACTGGCTATATGTACTATAAAACAAGACCAGTCTATTCGCTATCTACAAGAAATACATCTCATCAACAAAAATATATGCAGACTTAAAGAAAAAGGATGGAAAAAGACACTCCATGCTAACAGAAACCAAAAAAGAGCTAGTGTAACCACCTCGTTATCAGACAAAATAGACTTTAAGACAAAAACAAAATAGACTTTAACACAAAAACAAGAGACAAAGAAGGGCACTTTGTAATGATTAAGGGATCAATTCAACAGGAAGATGTGACTATAATAAGACATATATGCACCCAATTACAGGGTACCTGGCTATTTAAAAGAAATGTTAGTGGATCTAAAGGGAAACATAGATTCTGATACAATAGTAATGGGTGATTTCAGTACCCAACTTTCAGCAATGGACAAATCACTCAGATAGAAAGTTAGCAAGGAAATAACAGAGTTAATCGACACTATAGACCAAATGGACCTAACAGATACCTACAGAACTTTTAATCCTACAGTTGCAGAATACACATTCTTCTCACCAATGCATGAAACTTTCTCTAGGATAGACTACATGGTAGGCCATAATCCAAGTCCCAGCAAATTCAAAAAAATAAAAATCATACCATGCATCTTCTCTGATCACAAAGGATTGAAGCTGGAAATCAACAAATCAAGAATCTCTAGAACATATGCAAACACATGGAGACTGAACAACATGCTCCTGAAAACAATGGGTCATAGAATAATTCAAAAGAGAAATTAAAAAATTCCTGGAACATATCAAAACTTATGGGATACAGCAAAAGCAGTGTTAAGACAAAAGTTTACAGCAATTGGAGTCTACATCAAGAAATTGGAAAGGCACCAAATAAATAAGCTATCAATGCATCTCAAGGACCTAGAAAAACAACAGCAAAACAAACCCAAAATTAGTAGGAGAAAAGAAATTAAAATCAGAGAATAAATAAACGAAATTAAAGCAAAAAATACAAAAGATAAGCAGAATGAAGAGCTGGTTTTTTGGAAAATTAAACAAAATTGACACATCACTGGCCCAACTAACCAAAAAAAAAAAAAAAAAAAGATAAAAGTAAAGACCCAAATCAATAGAGATAAAAAAGGAAATATAACAATAGATACCACAAAAATAAAAAAAAATCAGAAATTACTACAATGAGCTGTATGCCAACAAACCAGGAAACCTAGAAGAAACTGATTTCTAGACACATACAACCTACCTAAATTGAGCCATGAAAACATAGAAAACCTAAATAGATCAATAAACAAGATGGAAACCGAATCAGTAATAAAGACCCTCCCAACAAAGAAAAACCCAGGACTAGATGGATTCACTTCTGAATTCTACCAGACACTCAAAGAACTAACTCCAATTCTTCTCAAGGTATTCAAAAGAAATGAAAGGGAGGAAATCCTTCCAAATTCCTCCATGAAGCCAGCATCACCTTAATTCCTAAACCTCAAAAAGATACAACAGAGAGAACTACAGACCAATTTCCCTGATGAATTTGGATGCAAAGATATTCAATAATCAAGCAAACTGAATCCAACAACAAACCAGAAAGCTCATTCACCCAGATCAAGTGGGATTTATCCCTGGTATGCAGGGATGCTTCAACATTCATAAATCAATCAATGTGATACATCACATTAACAAACTGAAGTACAAAAACCATATGATTATCTCAATAGATGAGAAAGCTTTTGACAAAATACAACACCCTTTCACGATGAAAACTCTAAGCAAATTGGGTATAGAAGGAACATTCCTCAACACAATCAAGACACACAGCCAGCATGGGTTTCATATAGATATCAACAAACAACAAATGCTGACAAGGACGTGGGGAAAAAGGTACCCTAACCCACTGTTGGTGGGAATCTACACTGGTACAGAAACTATGGAAGACAGTTTGGAGATACCTCAGAAATCTGAATATAGACCTACCATATGACCCAGCCATCCCACTACTGGGAATTATCCCAAGGAAATGAAATCAGCATATGAAAGGGTTGCCTCTACCCCCATGTTTATTGCAGCTCAATTCACAATAGCTAAGACATGAAATCAACCCAAATGCCCATCAACTGAAGACTGGATAAAGAAATTATGGGATATGTACACCATGGAATACTACATGGAGGTTAAAAAATGAAATCCTGTCATTTGCAACAAAATGGA